GGGGTTTCGATGTGGGATAGATGCCTTTATGGCTACTATCTTCTTATCTTTCTTCTATTATCTAAACTCTTCTTAAGGCTCATTCTTATGGCTATTCTTTTTAAGTGAAGCGGCTAGATGCATAAGGGAAGTGCACGTTTGTGAGACCTTAGTCGGGATGTAAAGGGCAGCCCTTATCCCATGCCTTCCTAAATAAAGGCATAACTAGAGTCATTTTTTTTATACCTTGTAGAATAACTCTTTGGTACCTATTTTTTCTTTTTTTGTCTTTTTGCTTGGTCATCACAACTGTTTTTCAATTCGTTTGTGAATTTTTCTGATACTTTATTAGATTTTATAGATTGTCTAAGAAAATCAATCAATTATGGATATTTTGTGTTTTTATTTGATCTACTATTACATAAAATACGTTATTTTTATTATCATTATAATTTTGTAGCATATTCTTTAATACTGTCAGTCGGACCAATTGACTCAACGGTTGAACTAGTGACCCCTTGACCTAGTTTCTTTGTCGGGTTAGTGCCTCGATCGGGTTTAAGAACTATGTTTTTTCAACCCTTATTTTTCACTTACTCTCACTACCCCTCTCTCACTCTCTCTCTCTCTCATCTGAGATTTAGTCCTTCTCACACCTCTCTCATCTTCGGTTCTTGGTCCCTCCCATCCCTCTCATTATTTGGCTCTAAAATCAAATGTTGAATATGATTAAGTTGTCTTCTTACAATGATAGTCTTTTGAGTGGGTTTAATCCTATTATAGACAAGGATCAAAATATAGTTTCAAAACAGTCGAAACATCCGAAACGTTTCCATTTCTAAGGAGACCGAAATGAATCAATAATGAAATCGAAATTTTAATACTTCAAGGTGTTCCATAATGTTTTGTTATATTTCAATACATTTACACAATTATTTCAGAATGCTTCAAGGTGTTTTAAGATATTTTAATATATTTCAATCAATATTTTAAAAAAATAATTCTTAATTTTTTTATTTTTTTTCCATTCTATTTTTAAAATAGGTCGAAACGTTTCTGAAATAAGTTGAAACGTTTTCATTTTTCAGATGACTGAAACAATACACTTAAACGAAATTTTGATCATTGATTATAGGCATATACCATGCTATATCTTGCTCCCAGCTTCTCTTAATATCAAAAATTATATATCCATTCATTTATTTCTTTATTATTTAACAATAGTATTCTTGGGTGAAGAGCAGATTAGATGGTTTTTGTTTATTTCTTTGATAGGCTTAGAATTGGGAGAAAAATTGATGTTGAGGGATCTTTTTATTTTCTTTGGCAATTTATGGTTTCAATATGAATCTAGTTCTGAATTTTAGCTTGTAGTTTGGGTTTGACCGTGGTTCAAAAATCTTAAAATGGGTAGTACCTTGGTTAAAGGATTTAGGTTTGGGTCTAAGTATTTTAAACTTTATGTTGAGCATAGATTGACTTGTTGCCTCGCCCAACCCGTTTTAATTGCACCTCTACTGGAATTTCCTTCTCTTTAGTTATCTTTATGACTAACTATAAGAATAGAAACTTATAGGTTGAGTAGCGCTCAAGGAAATTGTGGTTCTTTCTTACTTTATGCCTCATTCCTTTTGAGTCTTCTTTCTTTGAGTAGCATATCTTAGTCTTATGACTGTAGGTTTAGAGCACACTATGCTCAATTAGAATGTATTAATTCAATCAATTCCAACTAGAGGTGTATTGATCCTCTCGCTATGGTATAAAGTTCTTAAGAGCGAAGTCGCATCTCAACAATGTTACACCATGTGGTTTAGGATAAGAAGTAATCATATCCGATTTTTTCCTTTTATCATTTTGCTATTCTTTTTTTTTTTCCTTTTTTGTGGGAGCTTGATGGGTAATTGCATTTAGCTTTATAGTTGACATGTACTATTTAACAATTAATTGTATTTTGCTGTGGTTGAAGGCTTGAAACATTATATTTGAAGGTAATTTTATTTGGCAAACATGTAGCATTTCTGTCACTTGTCCAAATTAGTGGCAAATGAGAATTTTAATATATCACTTCATTGTAATCGTCACCAATATTTATTTTTAGGAAGTGAGATTTTTTTTAATTTCAAATATAATATTACAATAAAGTGGACAACAAATCCAAACAATAAAATAAATAGGAAATAGATACAATACATCATAATATCATTAAGGGTTAAACATCTGGCACAATGCCAATATTCAATCAATGCTAAGGGAAAATAATGGCACATCGTTGAATTCTTTAGCTACTACCACTCAAAGACTGGCCAAGAACCTAACTTTGTCACTTAACAATGTAACATATTAATACTTCCCTTGAATTATTTTTCTATTCTTTTCCATCCACACCACCCAAGTAATGGCGACAACCATGGTTATTAAAATCGCGATCCAACTCCTACGATTGTACGATCCAAATTTAACAAATCGATTTGGATCATATACAAAATCGTTGAGCAGTAGAATCGATGTGGATCCACATCGATTCTGGATCCAACAAAATTGTAGGATCTCAATCCCAAATATGATCTCACGATCCTACTCTTGCACACCCATACAAGCTATTTTTTTTTACTAATTTTAAAGAAGAATGTGCTATTTCTGTGTTTTCTCTGTTTTTTCTCCTTGTTACAACCTTAAATTATAATTTTTGGATTTTGCAATTACAACCCTACTGTATTTGGCTCTTTTCTGTTTTAGAACTTGAATGTTACAATATTAATGTGAAAGGCCTACCTTCTGAGCTACATTTTCAATTTTATTTGAATTAGCTTTTGGTATCCATATTATATATATAATATGTCTATCATCATATATTTACATTAAGTACAAAGACAAGGTTTGGTTCATTGAAATCTTTGTTGTTGATTGTTTTTTTAGTTCTATGTTCTTTAATAAGTATGATTTTCTATCCGATCCTACAACAACCCCCCCCCCCCCCAAAAAAAAAAAAAAAAAACCGATCCAAAGTAGAATCCCGATTTTAAAAACCTTGGCGATAACTATGCTCACCCGCAAAATGGATGCTCTCTACCCTTCCCAAATATACCATACTTAAGCGGGGAAATAATTTCTTTAGGCGTTACCCAATTCAAGCAAAACTTCACAAAAGCTTTATGTCGTAATTTCGAAGCTGCGGGACAATGGATGAAGAGGTGATCCACACTTTCACAACTTGCCCTACACATAACACACCATTGAGGAGAAAAACAAGTTTTTGATATTCTCCTTCGCAATGAATCAGAAGTATTGATCTTATCACGAGCCATAGTCCAAACAAACGCCTTCACCTTCATGAACACTTTAGCCTTCTAAATCATCTTATGTAGATGTAGGTTCAAAAATTAAAGAAGATGGACCATCAATAAGCACATTAACTCCTACTAAAGAAAAAAGCACATTAAGATATGATTACATAAGAAGATACTAGGATAATCAATGACCCACAACCTCTTGTCAACCAAACCCGACCCTAGATAGACTAGTTGAATCAATGACAACAAAGAGAAAAGTTCATCCACCTCCCTATCATTCAATGCTCCGAAGACATGAAAATCCCACCCCCTTGAAGAGGAGATGCAATAAACATAAATGCAATGGAAGCCTCTTCATTTTTCGGGACAGTCTAACAAGATGAGAAAAACTCAAAACAAAAACAAAATCCCCCCACATTTATCGTTCTAAAAGCTGCTTTTCTCACAATTCCCCACCCTCAAACCCCGTATAATTCAAGAAACAATTTAAACATCGTGAATGAACTTCTAAAGGCAACGTAAAAACCCTTAACCACCATAATTGAGTCCCACTTCAAATAAGGATATTGCATATATGATGACAAAAAGATGCTATGGAGGTTGACGCCAGTTTGTTGATGTGGTAATTTAAACCGTGTTTCATTTCTTTCAAGTGGGATGTCATGCCTCCAAGTGCCTATGTATGTCTTATGGGGCCTCCAAGTGCCTATGTATGTCTTATGGGGCCTCCAAGTTTACTCGATATTGTAAGAACCACGTGTAAATATTCTTAAAAAAGCTTGTATCCCACATTGAATGATTAGGACCACTCAAGGTTGGTTTGTATAATTGAGGGGCTACTCCACTCATTGTGAATTTGGTTTTGAGTTGGATGCTTTAACATCTCGAGTCAGCACTAAACAACAAGTGATATGGGGCAGCTGACAGTTAATGGGCTCATCATTTATTTGCCTATGTTGTGCTATTATCTTTATTTGAGTATGTTGCTGGGTCTCATGCTTCTATTGTTCTTTAGGCAAATAGTAAATACTGTTGGATTTGATTTACTTGATTTGCAATTTAATTAATGGGTCTGTTTCATGAAAGTCATTTCTGCGAGAATTAGTATAATGTTTTCATCTTTTGGTTTGAAATCTAATTGTTGAGTATCCTAAACAACTGTCAAGTCAATTCTCCAGGTCGTGATATAGTAGCAACTAGCAAGTTTTATGGTTGAGAAGCCAATTTCTTTTCTGGAATCAAGCAGGTTGGCCGTGCCTCCAAGTGCCTGTGTCTTATGAGGCTCGTAAGTTTGTTGTGTATTGCAATTTTTGCAAACCATGTGTAAGCATAAAGTCAAACCTAATGAGTGAGTGGTATGAGGGCAGGTGACATAGTTAAGAGGCTCATCATTTATATGTGCTGTTCTCTTCATTGGAGTGCTTTGCTTTGTATTGTGCTTCTATTGTTCTTTATGCAAATAGTAAATATTGCTTGAATTGATTTGCAATTTACCTAACAGGGTCTCTACCATGAAAGACATTTCTGTACAAAGTATAATTTTTACGCATTTGGTTTGAAATCTAGTTGTTGAATATCCTTAAGAACTGTCATCAACTCTCCANCGGTCTCTACCATGAAAGACATTTCTGTACAAAGTATAATTTTTATGCATTTGGTTTGAAATCTAGTTGTTGAATATCCTTAAGAACTGTCATCAACTCTCCAGGTCATGATATAGTAGCAAGCTTCATGGTTGAGAAGCCTGTTTCTTTCCTGGAAGACAATATTCTGCAGCTTGAAGAAGATATTTTTGATGAAATAGACGTTGCCATGACTAAAGTACTGTCTCTCCCCCCCTTCTTATCTGTAGCCCAAATCTATTCTTGCCTTTTCCTATTATTATCTAATTACTTGTTTATGACAGGTGGAAATAATATCCTTACAAACTTTAGCCAGGTCAAACAGAACGGAGGTTGTATTTGCGGTTGATTCCGATGGGAAAAATCCGAGGGTTTCTTCAACTGCTCAAAGTTTAATTAGGGCCCCTTTTGAATCTCTGTTTATACGTCAATCATCTCTCCGTTTGACTGCATCTTTGTTTGGGGATACTTTCTCTTTTGAGGTGCTGAAATTCACAGGAGGCTTTACAGTTAGTCCTCCACAGAGTGCGTTTCTTATGCAAAAAGTGCAGATCCTTTTCAACTTTACCTTGAACTTTTCTATTGACCAAATACAGAATAATTTCTATGAACTGACGAGCCAGCTGAAATCAGGGCTACATTTTGCTCCATATGAGGTCTGGAAACATCTTCCATTCAGTTTAATTGCTGTTCCTATGTGAAGAGCCATAATAAGAACTTTGCACCATAGTTATCTTTGGTAGCTGTCCATATTCTCATATAACTTCAATTGTGTGAGCAAGTTTGTCAAAATGTATAGCGTAGTGCGTATCATTTTCTTAAATTAGAGTATTGTATATCATGTATCGTATATCGTGAAATGCATGTGTGTGTAGTTCCAAAACGATACAAATAGTTCAACTTAAAATACATACAAGCTTAAAAAGGACTCCAAGTTTAAAAAAAATTAACAATTCAAGTTTACAACACAATGCATCAATATTAAAATTTAAAGATTAGGAAAATCCAAACAGTCTGTTCTTATAGTCCTTTGAATTTATNTTAACAATTCAAGTTTACAACACAATGCATCAATATCAAAATTTAAAGATTAGGAAAATCCAAACAGTCTGTTCTTATAGTCCTTTGAATTTATCTTGATCTTCATTTTCAACAGCATCAATATCTTCATCATCGGATGCCAGCAAGTCTTTACCCCCTCTATATCTTTCAACCTTTCGTATAACCTTCATCCTCTTCATTATTGTTTTTTCAACTATTTTCTTTCTTTTAGTTTTCTTATTTGACAATACATTCTCGGCCCACGTAAAGACAATATAAATTATATAAAATTTTAAAATGATTAGATGAGTCAACAAATTAAAATATATATTTACAAAAAGTATGTAGAATATTTATCTTTCTTTCTTTTTTTGTTACTTTATCCTTTTTGAACCTATAAAAAGCATATCACAATGTATCGTATATCGTATTATCGTGTATTGTACGATATGTCATAGAATGATACACTTATACAAAACGTATTGTTTTAATCCTATGTCAAAACGTATCGTGTGTATTACATGTATCGTAAACAACCATGCTTGTTGAGCTTAAGTTTCTCTGTTTGATATCGAATTGATCTTTCAAATTTTGGAATTCTGAGTGGCATTCTCAAATTTTGATATTGTTGTGCTAATCTGTGACCACGTATACTATTGATGTTTGTTATAAATGCTTCCTTTTGTATTTAATTTGTTTCCGATATTCAGTTGTAAATGTTGTGGTAGCCACATTTTAATCTGCTAGTTTTTTAAAAATATATATGACTTGTGTGGGAGCAAGTGTGTGCATTTGTGCGTGAGATTTTCTAGACAGCGAGGGAGGCATGAAATTCTTATGAAGAGGAATTTTCCTTCATAGTCATACAGGCAGGATTTATATTTAATCTCACAACAATTCTTTTTTGTGCTAGCTCTGAAGTTAATTTTGAACTAAAGTCGTTTTTAGTAACCTAAACATTGTTAAGGTTCAAAAAAAAAAAAACCTAAACATTGTTTAGTATATTCACTATGGGTGAAAGGCATTATCGCAACAATCAAAAAGTTTTGCTTTTTCTGCAGAACTTGTACATTAGCTTGACGAATTTGAAAGGTTCAACAGTGGCACCCCCCACTACTGTTCAGGCACAAGTTCTTCTGGCAGTTGGGATCAATCCTTCAAAGTCAAGGTTAAAGGAGTTGGCTCAAACCATCACTACATCTCATACGAAAAACCTTGGCCTCAATAACACCGTGTTTGGAAGAGTTAAACAAGTTCGTCTTTCATCTATACTGCAACATTCCCTTGGTGGTGGCACCTTGGGGTCGCCTTCTCCGGCTCCTCTGCCAAATCCTCACCACCAGCATCACCACCATCACCACCACCACCACCACCACCACCACCATCACCACCATCACCACCACCACCACCACCATCACCATGATTATTCCCATCTTGCTCCCGCAATTCCACCTGCACCTCAGACTGGGAAAAGTGGATCTGTAACTGATAAAGGTTCACCTGCATCTTCACCAATGTCTGCACCTACACCTACACCTGAAAAGAGTCATGAGGCAAAGCCTCCTGCTTGTCATTTTGGGTTTAGAAAGAGTTCACCGAAGAAGGCAAATAAGCATTCTCATCCAATTCCTCCTGTTGTACCACCAGTTTCTCCAAAGTATACAGCTCCTGCACCACAGCATCAAGTAGAACCTCGGGCACCTGCCTCACAATTAATTCCTGTGTCAAGTCCATTTCCAAATGTAGTTTTTGCTCATGTTCAGCCCCCATCAAAAAGTGAATTCGATGTGGAGCCTCCTGATATAACAGCTTCAGTCTCATCCTCGCCATCTCCATGTGAGTATATCTTCAAGAATATCAGCATTATTTTCCAAATTTTTACTGTTTGGATCTGAAGCAATTGTTGTTAACTTTCCCAACTATGTCAGGAGGTAGGCTGTTTAATTTCAGTCTTTGTTTGGTTAATACATAATTATTTATTGTGGATTTCTTTATATTTTTAATTGAGCAATGCTATGTGCACCAAATCACTTGCAACCGTTGGATCAGTGGATCCCATCACTGATCCAACGGCTGCAGTTGATTTGGTGCATAAAGAATTACCCTTTTTAAATCACTTTTTTTTTTTTTTGGGGGGGGGGGGGATCATTGATGCAATTGTTGCCCACATTGCTTCTTCTATCAGCCGTGTCTTTCATAGAAATAGCTTGTTAAATGTTTACCATAGGGCTGCTTCATTATATATATCTACAATGTCTTCTTTGATTGCAATCTTCCCAATGATGCTGTTTCTTTCAAGTTTTTCTTTCTTGATCAAAGCAAGTAGTCCATAAAAACCATTTGCAAAATTATATTTACTTACAGCCACACCCACTTGTAGAATGCCATAACTATAGGAAAACCCCTTCGATTTCTGAAGTCACATTGATACTCCCTATCAATTCGATTTAAATTTTTACCCATGCCTTCGTACTCATATTGGGTCAAAATGTTACAAAAATTCATTAATTTTCTTAATTGATATTTTTAAACCATCTAGATATAGTGTCATGACAGTTGGTTTTTCCATATTTCTTAGTATTTATTTTGTTTATGTTCTTAATTTTTTAAAATTTTGAGTTAAAGATGTAATCTTCTAATGTTTTGTATCTTGATTTCAATTTTTTATTGATTTGGTTTTTCTTCTAAGTTAGTCTATGCATGGCCACAACTACTTTTCCTGCATAGTAATTTTGGCTTTTTAGTTGTTCCTATTTTTTTAAAATTTTTTTTGAAATGCATTGGCAATATATCTTTGGTGACCTAAGGGTAATAGTGACACCAGAGAANTTTTGCTCATGTTCAGCCCCCATCAAAAAGTGAATTCGATGTGGAGCCTCCTGATATAACAGCTTCAGTCTCATCCTCGCCATCTCCATGTGAGTATATCTTCAAGAATATCAGCATTATTTTCCAAATTTTTACTGTTTGGATCTGAAGCAATTGTTGTTAACTTTCCCAACTATGTCAGGAGGTAGACTGTTTAATTTCAGTCTTTGTTTGGTTAATACATAATTATTTATTGTGGATTTCTTTATATTTTTAATTGAGCAATGCTATGTGCACCAAATCACTTGCAACCGTTGGATCAGTGGATCCCATCACTGATCCAACGGCTGCAGTTGATTTGGTGCATAAAGAATTACCCTTTTTAAATCACTTTTTTTTTTTTTTGGGGGGGGGGGGGATCATTGATGCAATTGTTGCCCACATTGCTTCTTCTATCAGCCGTGTCTTTCATAGAAATAGCTTGTTAAATGTTTACCATAGGGCTGCTTCATTATATATATCTACAATGTCTTCTTTGATTGNTGCTGTGTATGATTTCTCTTCTGCATAAATATAAGGAGGGAAAACCAAAAAATGTATGAACTCAACAAATGTATCACATTGCTTTTTTGTTCCTAATACCTTTCAAGTCCTTATTCATTTTGGTCTGTTGAATATTCTGAAGCGCTTGTTTGTTCAGAGACCTCAGATGTTGATAATAGGGGATTATGTTTGAAATCTTGTTTTTCAGAGGACAATGGTTATGGAATCAATTTGGACATGAACCTAACACTACCTACATGCATGGGATGAGTACAGTTTTAAGATAGTCTCCGTGTTCATGAGCTGCTGGTTCTGTACCATTATATATGTAAACTAATATCGGTGTGTGCCCTCCAACTAAATGGTATCGATGATAGGGAAGCAAAAAAGAAAAGAAAAAAACAATGTTGATATGGGAGTAAAAAGAATTTGCTACTCTCCGTTTTCTTGCTGTTTCCTTTTATATTATATTTTCCTTCCCTTTTTCCAAGTGGTTGGTTTTGGGGTTGGGGTTGGGATTGGTACCGGCGCTTGTTGATTCTGGATTATGGGTGTTACAGAGGCAGAGTCATTTGGTAGATGGTCATTTTCTGATCTTGACGGTGAAGTTGGTCTCTAATGGTTTTTTATCCAACTTTTCAAATGATACTACGAGAATAGGACAAAAGGAANGACGAGAATAGGAAAAAAGGAAGGGGAAGGACATAGAGAAAAGCCGATATGTGCAAATTTTGTGGCATCGTGCCGTTAGATATTTGTTTACTTTCGGTAGGATATTGAAAAACAATTCTCGGGTGGAGTAGTGTTAGCGTAATGTTATAGAAATTTAAAAATTAGACTTGATAATTGTAATCATTGATTTTACAACAAGTCTATGTATTTATTAGGATATATTGCATATTTAATAATTATAATTATCAAATTTAATTTAATAGTATTATTCACAGTTTTATTCATTCATTGACCATCTTTGTCTGGACTCCAACTCCCACGTGCATTATAAGCCGTACAAAAAAGCACCTACACTTATTACTATAAGCCTAAAAATAGTATCTCTTCGGCTCTTCCACCATCGTCACCGTATCTCAGCCTTGCAATAAGAGAATTTAAAGAACCTTGTAATAATGATGAGGGATGATGGCATTGGCAACCTCCTCATTTTCCATTCACACGTTGGTTACCAAAATGTTGATCAATGTCAATACCAATCTAACCATTTATTTATTTTATCATTATTCAACATATAAATTACACTTACAGTTGAGTAAAGATGTACTTTTTCTTCTTCAAAAAAATTATGCAGAGGCATAGGAAGCATGGGGTTTGGCTGTGATGAAGAATTGGTGACAGATATGTTATGATGGAGTGAGAGACCCACCCCTCCCCTCTCCTCCAAAAATAGAAAGTTGTTGGCGCAGAGGTCGGGTGGAACATAGAATACAGGTCTTGCCCAAACTCTGGGAAGAGAGAGAAATTTTTAAAAGGAAGAGAGGTGTCCCCAGAGCTTGGGGGTATGTATTAACAAGGGCGGAGGAGAAGGGGAGGGCTTGTCTTTTAGGTGACGGATTGATTCTCTCTCGCGCTCTCCCGTTGCCGTTCCGTCTCCCTGAATGCCTCACCAGTGTTCAGGGTCTCTCTCTCTCTCTCCACCCCCCTCCCCCTCCCCCCCTCCGGTTATATGTTTAATAGTAGAAATGATTATATAAAAAATCTCTCGCAATTGTGAAGTTTGAAAAGGATTAGATGTATACAATCCTATTTTTGTGACTCGATGATGTACATAATATTTCGGTGATATTTTAGGGGAGTTTTGGTTGCTTTCCAATACATTTGATATGTTTGGAAGCATAAATTACATTGGGTGTTTGATGTTATCGTCTCTGTTTTCATATTTAGGTTGCTATCATATTTGTCAATTCAATGCATAACAGTCACGGGTTCAATGATTATCTAAANCTCTCCAATACATTTGATATGTTTGGAAGCGTAAATTACATTGGGTGTTTGATGTTATTGTCTCTGTTTTCATATTTAGGTTGCTATCATATTTGTCAATTCAATGCATAACAGTCACGGGTTCAATGATTATCTAAAGCCACCTCATGATCAATATGATTACCAAGAAAATTTGAAAATATTCATTTCATGTATAATGTGTCACCCAAAATCTTAATTTTCACTTGAAAAAAAACACTCAAATCGTATTAATTTCTCATGTCGGTTCATTGGGTTCAATTTTTCGCAACTTTCGGCCTTCTCTCCATCCTTTTGTGGGGGGATTTTCTCATCTACTATGGACGTGTTGTGCTAAGCTGTAATATACTTGATTGTTCGTTGTAATTGTACTATGTTTCCACTCTTTGCAGTTAATTGTGGCGACTTTTTAGCGGAGGAGCGAGGGACTAATAGGATGGTATGTTGATGTTTTGTTATAATTAAGTCAATCTAATTTCTAACTTCTTTAGATTTATGAAGGGATCTTTCGTTTCTGTTGTTTTATGTGGAGGGGTCTTGATCAAAGGCAATAAGTGGTTCTAAACTGGTCTGTAATTTGTAGGTGCTCGGAGATTAGCAGAATGGATCCAGTAATTGACCTATGCAAGCTTGTATATGCCAATATCAAGTAAGCAATTATGTCTTTGCTGTTATCAATTTATCATGTACAATTTTGCAACTTCTTATCTGTTCTTATGAGTATTATGCAGTTGTGGAGTTTCATCGAAAGTAAAAATCAGATGAACTAATTGCATGTAACGTCTTCTCAGTTCCATGTAATCTGAATTTGGATAATGATTCTTGCATATATGTGTAATCCATCTTTAATTTTTTGTTTTCCCTTCCCATTTCATGATCCAACATAACCATAATAGCCCAATGACAACTATGAACTGCGATCCTTGTGACCTTTTCAGACAGTTATAAATGAACTTGCATTCACCAAACAAAAAAAAAAGGAATTTATATATCATTTGGCCTATTTTGATTGCTCATAGATTTGTCGTGTCATGTAAATAATGGATTTCAAGAACCATTTTCATATGCAGTTTCCCTTAGAAATATCAAAACATACAAGCTGATGATTTGTAGTTCCAATTACCAGTACTTGATTGTGTGCCAATTCAACATCTTGAAATTAAGACAGGCATGAAAATGCATTACTTTGGTTGTTGTGGTAAAATGACTGACGAAGTTTTGTGTTTGAAAAAATTGCAGACCTNAAGTACTTGATTGTGTGCCAATTCAACATCTTGAAATTAAGACAGGCATGAAAATGCATTACATTGGTTGTTGTGGTAAAATGACTGACGAAGTTTTGTGTTTGAAAAAATTGCAGACCTGACGTGGCTAATCTCCCAGGGAAGACTAACCCTCTAAGGATCCTTTAAGAAGCTGCTCTTTGACATGTACTCCAGTGATTCTCAACTGCATGAAATACTTCGAGATGGCTGTAGCTGTTGATCAACATCACGGATTCAAGCCATTTGTTCGACCCTCAAGATGCAAACTCCAATCTTACTCTCAACTGGATAAAGCAATGCTCGAA